AAATTATGGTGGAAAATAAGTATTTGGTGACCTACAAACAAGCAAGATTTCTGGCTCTCACAGACCTGGACCTTCTTCTTTAAGAGGCTCCTCCTCCTGCACTCATTACCTGTATCAATGGCACCTGTTTGATCTTGTTATCAGTATAAAAGACACCTGTCCACAACCTCAAACAGTCACACTCCAAACTCCACTATGGTGAAGACCAAAGAGCTGTCGAAGGACACCAGAAACAAAATTGTAGGCCTGCACCAGGCTGGGAAGACTGAATCTGCAATAGGCAAGCAGCTTGGTGTGAACAAATCAACTGTGGGAGCAATAATTAGAAAATGGAAGACATACAAGACCACTGATAATCTCCCTCCATCTGGGGCTTCACGCAAGATCTCACCCCGTGGGGTCAAAATGATCACAAGAACGGTGAGCAAAAATCCCAGGACCACACGGGGGGACCTAGTGAATGACCTGCAGAGAGCTGGGACCAACGTAACAAAGGCTACCATCAGTAACACACTACGCCGCCAGGGACTCAGATCCTGCAGTGCCAGACGTGGCCCCCTGCTTAAGCCAGTACATGTCGGGGCCCGTCTGAAGTTTGCTAGAGATCATTTGGATGATCCAGAAGAGGATTGGGAGAATGTCATATGGTCAGATGAAACCAAAATAGAACTGTTTGGTAGAAACAAAACTTGTCATGTTTGGAGGAGAGAGAATGCCGAGTTGCATCCAAAGAACACCATACCTACTGTGAAGCATGGGGGTGGCAACATCATGCTTTGGGGCTGTTTTCTCCGCAAAGGGACCAGGACGACTGATCCATGTACAGGACAGAATGAATGGGGCCATGTATCATGAGATTTTGAGTGCAAACCTCCTTCCATCAGCAAGGGCATTGAAGATGAAACGTGGCTGGGTCTTCCAACATGACAATGATCCCAAACATACCGCCCGGGCAACGAAGGAGTGGCTTCGTAAGAAGCATTTCAAGGTCCTGGAGTGGCCTAGCCAGTCTCCAGATCTCAACCCCATAGAAAACCTTTGGAGGGAGTTGAAAGTCCATGTTGCCAAGCAACCCAACCCTTTTGGGTATTCCAGGATTCCTTGCAGGATCCATGGTGGGTGTTCTGGGATTCCTCAGATCTCCGCCACCTTCAGGACTCCCAGAGTTCTCAGTAATGACACGGGGCGTGTCCTCTGACCAGGACGGTATTTAAAGTAGAACTAAATTTCACAACATAAAACTTCAAACAAGCAGCTTTATATTGTAAGGAGACATGTTATTAATGGTGGTATGTATGGTGCTATGTATGGTGGTATGTATGATGGTATGTATGATGGTATGTATGATGGTATGTATGGTGCTATGTATGGTGGTATGTATGGTGGTATGTATGTTTTGGTATGTATGATGGTATGTATGGTGGTATGTATGATGGTATGTATGATGGTATGTATGGTGCTATGTATGGTGGTATGTATGGTGTATGTATGGTGGTATGTATGATGGTATGTATGGTGCTATGTATGATGGTATGTATGATGGTATGTATGGTGGTATGTATGATGGTATGTATGATGGTATGTATGATGGTATGTATGGTGGTATGTATGGTGGTATGTATGGTGGTATGTATGATGGTATGTATGGTGGTATGTTATGATGTATGTATGATGCTATGTATGGTGGTATGTATGGTTGTATGTATGGTGGTATGTATGGTGGTATGTATGGTGGTATGTATGGTGCGATGTATGATGGTATGTATGGTGGTATGTATGATGGTAATGTATGATGGTATGTATGGTGGTATGTATGATGGTATGTTTGATGGTATGTATGATGCTATGTATGGTGGTATGTATGATGGTATGTATGATGGTATGTATGGTTATGTATGGTGAATTTATGTATGGTATTTTATGTATGGTGGTATGTATGATGGTATGTATGGTGTTATGTTATTTGGTATGTATGGTGGTATGTATGATTTTTTATGTATTTTGGTATGTTATGGTTATGTATGGTGGTTTTGTATGGTGTATGTATGATGGTATGTATGATGGTATGTATGGTGGTATGTATGGTGCTATGTATGGTGCTATGTATGGTGCTATGTATGGTGCTATGTATGGTATGTATGTATGATGGTATGTATGATGGTATGTATGGTGGTATGTATGGTGCTATGTATGGTGCTATGTATGGTGCTATGTATGGTGGTATGTATGATGGTATGTATGATGGTATGTATGGTGCTATGTATGGTGCTATGTATGATGCGATGTATGATGGTATGTATGGTGCTATGTATGGTGGTATGTATGATGGTATGTATGATGCGATGTATGATGGTATGTATGGTGCTATGTATGATGGTATGTATGGTGCTATGTATGGTGGTATGTATGGTGGTATGTATGGTGGTATGTATGGGTGCTATGTATGATGGTATGTATGGTGGTATGTATGATGGTATGTATGGTGATATGTAGACATGTAATGTATGGTGGTATGTAGATATGTAATGTATGGTGGTATGTACATATGTAATGTATGGTGGTATGTATGATGGCAATGTATGGTGCTATGTATGATGGTATGTATGGTGCTATGTATGATGGCATGTATGGTGCTATGTATGATGGTATGTATGGTGATATGTAGACATGTAATGTATGGTGGTATGTAGATATCCCCCTGTGGGGCAATTCTAAAAGTCATGATCTGGTGCCAGAGGCAGAAAAGAGAGGTGGGACCACTAAGAATTTCCAGCCATCTCCACCATCATGAGCTCTGGTGAAGACCAACTTTCTGATATACCCAGCCCTCCCCATATTTGCCCGTGTCGCCTTCCATGGGGTGCAATAACATCAGGACTGTATACGGTGAATGCGCCGCAATCAATTTGTAGATTTTAAGAAATTGCTAGCAGGTCATTTTTTTGGCAGAAGAAGCCATAAAGTCCCTTCTAACATGAGACCCAACCTGCCGGCAAATGATAGTTTTTGGGGTTTTCTTCCACTTAAAATTATTTTTTTAAAAAAAAGGTCCAAACGATAATAAATGAGGCCGAGCGTTGTACGTTTGGTGGTATTTGGTGGTATATGGTTTGCCCCCCCATCCCCCGTCACTTTGGTTGGGGCTCTTGGCCTGCATGTAGCTGTAGAAATCCTTCTAAGTCAAGGATGTGAAATAAAATATTACTCCATGTAATGAAATCTCTGCAACGGCCCCGTACAGCTCTAGAATACAATATTCCTCTCCGTAGTGCAGGTCCTCGGCTGGCATGCCTCGGGCTGCATCTGCCACACATCCATCGAACACCCCGGTGAGCGACCTGTCAGGACATTGCACCATAAATCAGGCCATTCCCGGGGTGAGGACCTTTAAACAAGATGCAATTATTTGGAGCCTCTGGACAAAACTGAAAGCCAAGGACTCCAGGGAAACGAGCAATTTGTGGGCCACAGGTGGGGGAAAGCTGGTTCTGATCTCCAATCTGATGGTGCAACTGCAGAGGAAGCTTCTTCCCGGGTAATGAGCGAACATGTGAAGGAGCGTGTGCTTGGTCGCCATGGTGATAGCTGTCACGAAGCTCCATTTGTTTATGCTGGAAGGATACAATGCAGTGCTAGGATGCAGGATAGCGAGCTACTGAGGGACCATCAATGGTCAATCACATTCATGTACCAAAGGCAGGTTCTGTCCACCAACACCGTCCACCACCAACGCCGTCCATCACCAACGCCGTCCATCACCAATGCCGTCCATCACCGACGCCGTCCATCACCAACGCCGTCCACCACCAACGCCGTCCATCACCAACGCCGTCCATCACCAATGCCGTCCACCACCAACACCGTCCACCACCAACGCCGTCCATCACCAATGCCGTCCATCACCGACGCCGTCCATCACCAACGCCGTCCACCACCAACGCCGTCCATCACCAACGCCGTCCATCACCAGCTCCTTCCTGGGCCATCTGTGGGTGCGGAAAATGAAGACATTTTTTTTTCGGTCACCAACTGTTAGAGTTTTCAGATCCTCAGTTTGTTTTATTGAGGTCATATTTGGATATTTTCCATTTAAACTAACCGAGCTTTCCTGCAGAGCAGAGCGTATGTTGTGGGGCCGGTGATCTGCACTCAGCAGGGCCCGCCATCAAAGCAGAGGAGGGCCGGATAGCAGGAAGGGATACCGGCTTAGGCTGTTGCATAGCAACACAGTCACTGCAAAAGACGTAAGGATCCTTCCTACAATGGGTTCAAGGGAATGTCTTCCATGGGGGAGAGTCTCTGCTGGGCTTGTACTCCTATCTTAGGAGAGAGATTTGTATTTACTGTCCTGGTGACAACGGCCTGCAAGACGGGAAGTGAGGGAAAATCTTCAGGAGGAAAACAAAGAAAAAGATTTGTCTTATTAGAGTTCAATAGCCGTTCTCCACCAGGATTCCCCCAGAGGATCCTGGGAGTTCCTGAGTTGTGGCTGATTGACCTCCCCACTGACCACCTATGTAAGGAGCTTTCTTCCCACTGACCCCCAATGTAAGGGGCTTTCTTCCCACTGACCCCCAATGTAAGGGACATTCTCCCCACCCGACCCCCAACGTAAGGGACATTCTTCCCACCGACCCCCAATGTAAGGGGCTTTCTTCCCACCGACCCCCAATGTAAGGGACATTCTTCCCACTGACCCCCAATGTAAGGGGCTTTCTTCCCACCGACCCCCAACGTAAGGGACATTCTTCCCACCGACCCCCAACGTAAGGGACATTCTTCCCACCGACCCCCAACGTAAGGGACATTCTTCCCACCGACCCCCAACGTAAGGGACATTCTTCCCACTGACCCCTCAATGTAAGGGACATTCTTCCCACTGACCCCCCAATGTAAGGGACATTCTTCCCACTGATCCCCAATGTAAGGGACATTCTTCCCACTGATCACCAATGTAAGGGGACATTCTTCCCACTGATCCCCAATGTAAGGGACATTCTTCCCACTGACCCCCCAATGTAAGGGACATTCTTCCCACTGATCCCCAATGTAAGGGACATTCTTCCCACTGACCCCCAATGTAAGGGACATTCTTCCCACTGACCCCCCAATGTAAGGGACATTCTTCCCACTGATCCCCAATGTAAAGGACATTCTTCCCACTGACCATCAATGTAAGGGACATTCTTCCCACTGACCCCCCAATGTAAGGGACATTCTTCCCACTGACCCCCAATGTAAGGGACATTCTTCCCACTGACCCCCCCAATGTAAGGGACATTCTTCCCACTGACCACCAATGTAAGGGACATTCTTCCCACTGATCCCCAATGTAAGGGACGTTCTTCCCACTGACCCCCAATGTAAGGGACATTCTTCCCACTGACCCCCAATGTAAGGGACGATCTTCCCACTGACCCCCAATGTAAGGGACATTCTTCCCACTGACCCCCAATGTAAGGGACATTCTTCCCACTGACCCCCAATGTAAGGGACATTCTTCTCACTGACCCCCAATGTAAGGGACATTCTTCCCACTGACCCCCAATGTAAGGGACATTCTTCCCACTGACCACCAATGTAAGGGACATTCTTCTCACTGACCCCCAATGTAAGGGACATTCTTCCCCTTACATTGGGGGGAAGAAAACTATCGGGTTGACCACTCCTTGGCCACCCTCCTGCCTGGACAGGTAAGTTACATTGTGTTTGATCGGGTTCAGCCTATCCCCCATAACAGCTGTAGACCCTTCCATAGAGAGATAGCAGCAAGATACAGACGAAGCCGACATATATAAAGATGGGGATCAGGTAGGTTTTCATCAAGCCAACCCTCTCCCTCAAGGACAGCCTCCATCTCTTCCAGCTCGCTACTTTGGCATTGGCATCTACCAACCTGCTTTCCCAATTTCGATGGCCATAGTCACCAGGACCAAATTTGATGCCCAAAACTTGAATTTCCTGCTGGGGCTCTGGGAAGGCATCTGGAAGTTGGAAGCTCTCACACAAGAACCTCATATAAGAAATTCGATGAATGAGGAAAACCCCAACGAACCCTTCCAATCCCGGGATTTACCCAAAACCAATAATTCAGTATAGACTAAAGAACATTTCAGAAGAGTAAGCCAGATTGGTTCCATCAAAGACGAACTTCCCCGCCAACCATAACATCGATCGGTACCAGAACTTCGCACTGAAGGGTGCTGGACTCTTCAAAGAGTTTCTAGAGTAGGCGTGGCCCAAAATGTGTCATTTCCCTGAAAATTTCTGCAAAACATCAGGTTCCAGAAAAATGTCATTTTGGGAAACTTTGTTAGAGACCATGAGGAAACCAAGATGAAGGCGGGATTCTTCTTCCTGCTATCCAAGACCTGCTCTTCATTAAGCCTTCTTCTGTAAGGGCCCTTTCATACTGGCATCCAGGGGACCATAAAAACAGGTGGCCGAGCTGCAGTTTACTGCCCTTTCCCAAGTGCCTACCATAATTCTGACATTACAGCCTGACACATGCAGCCGATACCACATTGGGGGGTTCGGCAGGTGGCACCACCTATCAGACTTGCCCATTTCACTCAATGGGGCCACACCACAACCGTGAAGGTAAGTACTACTGAGTGTGAAAAGGCCGTATGTGAAAGTGAAACTGCAGCACACAGGGCATTGCTGTGTGGCAGCTCTGTGTAAATCTCAGGACAGGATGGACACAAATCCTCTCCTGTGTATGTTAGCGCTTTGCCTGGAGCTGAATTCCTGGGATGCTCAGTGGTGACTGGTCCTCTTTAAGCTGTGACTATCCTTTCGGGGATTTCGGCATTTATATGGAAATCTGGCCGAGTGCAGCAATCCGATGAGAGCCGCCGAGAGCCAACAGGAGCCAACGAGAGCCAATGAGAGCTGACGAGAGCAGACTGGAGCCGATGAGAGCCTATGAGAGCCGACAAGGGCCAACGAGGGCCGGCGAGAGCCGACGAGTACCGATGAGAGCCGCCGCCGAGAGCTGACAGGAGCCGCCGAGAGCTGACGAGGGCCGCCGAGAGCTGACAGGAGCCGACGAGGGCCGACGAGAGCCGACGAGTACCGATGAGAGCCGCCGAGAGCTGACAGGAGCCGACGAGAGCCACCGAGAGCTGACAGGAACCGACGAGAGCCGATGAGAGCCAACAAGAGCTGACAGGGGCCGACAAGGGCTGACGAGCTGACAGGGGCTGACGAGAGCCGATGAGAGCTGACAGGAGCCGACAAGGGCCGACAAGCTGACAGGGGCCGACGAGAGCCATTGAGAGCCGACGAGAGCTGCCGAGAGCTGACAGGAGCCGACGGGGGCCGACAAGGGCCAACGAGAGCTGACAGGGGCCGACGAGAGCCAACAAGGGCTGACAGGAGCTGATGAGAGCCGACGAGTACCGATGAGAGCCGCCGAGAGCTGACAGGAGCCGACGAGAGCCAATGAGAGCCGACAAGAGCTGACAAGGGCCGACGAGCTGACAGGGGCCAACGAGAGCCGATGAGAGCCGACGAGAGCTGCCGAGAGCTGACAGGAGCCGACAAGGGCCGACTAGCTGTCAGGGGCCGACGAGAGCCGATGAGAGCCGACGAGAGCTGCCGAGAGCTGACAGGAGCCGACGGGGGCCGACAAGGGCCAACGAGAGCTGACAGGGGCCGACGAGAGCCGATAAGAGCTGACGAGAGCCGCCGAGAGCTGACAGGAGCCGATGAGAGCCGCCGAAAGCTGACAGAAGCCAACGAGAGCCGACGCTCAGATTCCGGAACGCGGTGAGCTAGTTGCTTTCTCAAGAGGAAATAAATTGTTTTGCTGCTTGCCATGCCGTGGGGAAATGAACAAACAATGACTAATGTGGTGGAAGGAAGACGCTGCGAGAACATTGGACACACATTGGATGAACATTGGGCGCCGCGCCTGTCCTCGCCAGAATGGGGATTTCTTCCTCCTCTCCATGTCCATTATAATACCCAGAAGGCCAAATCCCACAACCTCTCCGGAGATCCGGGTCTGACATCTGTGAGCTCCAGTGGATCGGTGTTGGGAGGGTGACACCTTCCATCTTCTACAGGAAGGATACAAATATCTGGCCTCAGGGACCAGATTTAAAGTGATGGATCCTGAATTTGTAATGCCAAATGGGTTCAAATGGCCGATAGAGAGGAAATTCATTCCAAACAAGTCAACCCCAACAACTAAATATGAGAGCCGAGCTGCTGTGTCACTGCTGGGAGGGAGGGCAGGGAGAGCTGAGCTGCTGAGTCACTGCTGGGAGGGGGAGCGGAGCTGCTGAGTCACTGCTGGGAGGGGGAGCGGAGCTGCTGAGTCACTGCTGGGAGGGGGAGCAGAGCTGCTGAGTCACTGCTGGGAGGGGGAGCAGGGAGAGCCGAGCTGCTGTGTCACTGCTGGGAGGGGGAGCAGGGAGAGCCGAGCTGCTGTGTCACTGCTGGGAGGGGGGAGCAGAGGGAGCCGAGCTGCTGAGTCACTGCTGGGAGGGGGGAGCAGAGGGAGCCGAGCTGCTGAGTCACTGCTGGGAGGGGGGAGCAGAGGGAGCCGAGCTGCTGAGTCACTGCTGGGAGGGGGGAGCAGAGGGAGCCGAGCTGCTGAGTCACTGCTGGGAGGGGGAGCATAGGGAGCCGAGCTGCTGAGTCACTGCTGAGAGGGGGAGCCGAGCAGCTGAGTCACTGCTGGTAGGGAGAGGAGAGAGAGCTGAGCTGCTGAGTCACTGCTGGGAGGGGGAGCAGAGGGAGCTGAGCTGCTGAGTCACTGCTGGGAGGGGGAGCAGAGGGAGCCGAGCTGCTGAGTCACTGCTGGGAGGAGGGGGAGGAGAGGGAAGATAACTGTTGAAAGTAAACTGACTGTACTTTCTGCTGTAAACTTTGAGGAATAATGACTCCACAGCGATCCTCGGCTCGGGAAGGTGGTGACGGTACAAGTGAAGCTGACTGAAGATCCTGTTTGTAGACATGACGTCTCTGGCTGTAGTTAGCAGGATTCATGGAAGATTGATCCCGAAAATCCCTTCTGACCACTATTGGCTGGGTCCAGGAGGGATTATTTTCCCCCACAGCAAGGTCCCCCCCCCCTGGGATTTTGTTTTACATTCTTCTGGATTACCAATGTTACCAATGAACATTGGACTCATTTCTCCATTGAATAACATTGGATGGTTCTCCTGCGGTTCCTGTATATATAGTGAATGCGGGGTCCGGGGAGAGCGGATATAGTGAATGCGGGGTCCGGGGAGAGCGGATATAGTGAATGCGGGGTCCGGGGAGAGCGGATATAGTGAATGCGGGGTCCGGGGAGAGCGGATATAGTGAATGCGGGGTCCGGGGAGAGCGGATATAGTGAATGCGGGGTCCGGGGAGAGGGGATATAGTGAATGCGGGGTCCGGGGAGAGCGGATATAGTGAATGCGGGGTCCGGGGAGAGCGGATATAGTGAATGCGGGGCCCGGGGAGAGCGGATATAGTGAATGCGGGGTCCGGGGAGAGCGGATATAGTGAATGCGGGGTCCGGGCAGAGCGGATATAGTTAATGCGGGGTCCGGGGAGAGGATATAGTGAATGCGGGGTCCGGGGAGAGCGGATATAGTGAATGCGGGGTCCGGGGAGAGCGGATACAGTGAATGCGGGGTCCGGGGGAGGGGATATAGTGAATGCGGGGTCCGGGGAGAGCGGATATAGTGAATGCGGGGTCCGGAGAGAGCGGATATAGTGAATGCGGGGTCCGGGGAGAGCGGATATAGTGAATGCGGGGTCCGGGGAGAGCGGATACAGTGAATGCGGGGTCCGGGGGAGGGGATATAGTGAATGCGGGGTCCGGGGAGAGGATATAGTGAATGCGGGGTCCGGGGAGAGCGGATATAGTGAATGCGGGGTCCGGAGAGAGAGGATATAGTGAATGCGGGGTCCGGGGAGAGCGGATATAGTGAATGCGGGGTCCGGGGAGAGGATATAGTGAATGCGGGGTCCGGGGGAGAGCGGATATAGTGAATGTGGGGTCCGGGGAGAGCGGATATAGTGAATGCGGGGTCCAGGGAGAGGATATAGTGAATGCGGGGTCCGGGGAGAGGATATAGTGAATGCGGGGTCCGGGGAGAGCGGATATAGTGAATGCGGGGTCCGGGGAGAGCGGATATAGTGAATGCGGGGTCCGGGGAGAGGATATAGTGAATGCGGGGTCCGGGGAGAGCGGATATAGTGAATGCGGGGTCCGGGGAGAGCGGATATAGTGAATGCGGGGTCCGGGGAGAGCGGATATAGTGAATGCGGGGTCCGGGAGAGCGGATATAGTGAATGCGGGGTCCGGGGAGAGGATATAGTGAATGCGGGGTCCGGGGAGAGCGGATATAGTGAATGCGGGGTCCGGGGAGAGCGGATATAGTGAATGCGGGGTCCGGGGAGAGCGGATATAGTGAATGCGGGGTCCGGGGAGAGCGGATATAGTGAATGCGGGGTCCGGGGAGAGCGGATATAGTGAATGCGGGGTCCGGGGAGAGCGGATATAGTGAATGCGGGGTCCGGGGGGAGCGGATATAGTGAATGCGGGGTCCGGGGAGAGGATATAGTGAATGCGGGGTCCGGGGAGAG